GCCTGGCCATTTTTTGGTTGCAGCCGTCATTGTTGTTTGGCGGCCCGGGCTGGATTCGAACCTGCCACCTTGGGTGTACGTGGCTGGCACCTTAGCCACTTGAGCCACAGGCGCCGAGCCGCCCCCAAGCTGGATCTTGATAAGCCCAGGTTACAGTGAGCTGGCTAGAAGTTACTGTTCTAATATAAAGTCAAAGATAAGAAAAAGTTCTGATAAGCTAATTTAAAATAGATTTTAAGTTACAGTTTAGTGGAGTAAAATCAACATAGTCTATTACTATGTAAACAAAAATAAGCAAGTTAGGGCAGCGCCTATGGCTCAAAGGAGTAGGGCACCAGCAACCATATGCCGGAGGTGGTGGGTTCAGGCCCAGCTCCGGCCAAAAACTATAAAAAAAAAAAGCAAGTTAATAGGTTTGTAAGATAAACAACAAAAGGAATGAATAGCCTCTAACTTTAATATCCAGCTAGCCATTCATAGGGTAAAAGTACTTGCCCTATGAATAGGTGACCTTCCTTACTATAAACCAGGATTGGCCGAGTAGAGAAAACTCGAGCTAGTGATTCTCCAATTTGCTGGAATTACCCTTAAAGGCAGGAGAGCAGAAGTTGTTCCCCTACACCTATAAACTGAAGCAGCTTTCTCTGAAATCACTGGATCAATTTGCAAAGTTACCCTATCCATGTTGTTTTAGTATTTTAGGAATGTATTCCCTTCCTTCTGATCCCCGAATGCAAGTAAACTCGATGATTTACTCTCCAGGGAGAGGCACCCTGTTTGTCCCATGGCTCTGCACTTTTTTTCCTTTTGTTGGAGACAGAGTCTTACTTTTATCACCCTTGGTAGAGTACCGTGGCATCCCAGGTCACTCTTGGGCTGAAGCGATTCTCTTTACTCAGCCTTCCACGTAGCTGGGACTACACAATGCCAGCTGTTCTTTAGAGATGAAGTCTTGCTCTGGCTCAGGCTACTCTTGAACTCATGAGCTCAGGCAATCCACTCACCTTGGCTTCCCAAAGTGCTGAGATTACAGGCGTGAGCCACTGCACCTAGCCCAACCACACTTCTGGCACACCATTTGTTTGAGCTTCTGTTGGTGATTATTCATCCAAGCATTTTCCTCTAGCCCTCTGATGCACTTTACAAAAAGACAGAAAGAAAAAGAAAAAAGCCCTAACTACGGCCAGAGGAGCCCACATACCTCATAACTGAAATAGAAGTACCCAGTCTGGTGGGCAAATTGCCAAAAGCATTCTGTGCCTCCTGGAGGGATCATGATGGCAAAGTCATGTCGATCAGCTCCACGGAAGAGTGGCTGGTTCTCAGAGCCACTTAGGGGTTCTGTCTTCTGGCTCCTAGCAGAAGTCACTAGATTCAGAACCACCAGCCCAGCCCCAAGGAGCAAAGGAAACATGCTGTTTTCTGGAGATGCCCCTGCAGGTGAACTGCCTGCAGCCCAGTAGAACCCAGTAGTTGAGACAACCACCCGGGGTAATCATTAACACCAAGAGTCACACAGTTAGGCCAACTTTAGGGCCATGCATAGATATCCGGTAATAGAACTGCCAAGACACGCCCATGTCTGGCTCATAGTTAGAGGTTTTACCTTCCCCTCAAAAGTGCAGTGGCTTTCCAAACCTACTTCATGGGTGCTGGGTAGGATCTACTACTCCGAAGAGAGACTGCCGTCCGTCCTGTGGGCTGTCATTTTTCAGTTTTTACTTCTTTGGAATAAAAAATTGGGTAAGTTTATTTACAACCATAAAGTTGGCTGGGCTGATGTTCTTCTTATTCATGGCAAATTAGGTGATAGTGTCCCTAGAAAACAAATTGTTAGGTGATACTGTGCCTATAAAACAAATCAGGCTATACCTGCTTCAGTGACTTCTCCCCGCCCAATGCTACAACTCAGCGAAGCACAGCATGTGTGTGCACCAGCTGCAAGGGATGAGGAGTGACAACACAGTGGTGAAACCCCTCTGTCCCCAGACCTCATTCTGCTACCTTCCTCCTGACTGATACATCCACCTAAAGCAGTGGTTCTCAACCCTCCTAATGCCGCGACCCTTTAATACAGTTCCTGTGGGTCACGACCCACAGGTTGAGAACCGCTGATCTAAAGTAATCCAAACCCACTTAGAGACTATTCTATTCAATTATATTGAATCTTTCTTCTTTTATTCATGACTTCTTCAGCACCCGCAAGCAGGAAGAAACCTATCCAAAGCCCACTCAGACTATCGTGTTGTTCAAACCTTCAATTTTCTTTTATTCATGACTTCAACACCCACTGACTTCATGGCAGGTGCTGAGCTGAGAGGCTTATTTTACATCTATTTTTACCTGGAAGGAGGTGCTGTGAGCTTCCTTCTCAGAGACAAGGATATTGACATTGAAGAGAGTCAGGTGACTGGGTCACAGTCCCACTAACCTTGATGGGGGCTCATGCTCTTAACCACCAAGACCATGTTTTCCAAGCTAGCAGTTTCTGAGTTATGACAATGTCTAAACATTTTTATTTTAGCCATAATTTTAAAAAGCAAAACAACATTAGTGTCTTACAGCCAAGAATTTTTCAGAATTCATCACATTGGCTCCAAGCATCACAAGCTAACAGAGCAGAAAACAGACTTTGTGAATGTGGTTCAGTTCTAGCTAAGGCCAGATGACATCACAGTGCTCTGGAAGTACAATTGCTCTGCAGCAGTCAAGCTCAAGGGAGAGCAGAAGAGGCTGGGACCAACTCTCAGCATACGTGGCGCAGGCCTCCCTCATCGACTTCCACCACTGCCGCAGTCCTGACACTACTCAAGTTGTGATGCAGCAAAGCACTCATCACTTCGTGGTCTTACAGTTCTACAGAAGCTGGAAGTATAGATTTAGGTTTGTACACATTTCACTAATGTGTATGAACAGGCGGGTCAACACTAAAGTTACGTGAAATATTAACAGACTTAGTGTTTCTTTTTTTTTTTTTTTT